CCCACCGTGCGCGCCCAGCACCCTACGCCCTGCCCACACCACACCTCCCCGCCCCCCGTCGCTCCTCCTGTCCGTGACCCGCCCACCGCATCCACCACGTGCGCCCGCACCGCCTCTCAGCGCCCGGCTGATGCGCAGTGACCCACGGGGGCCCACCTCCCCAACCGGGGAGCGTCTGGCCTACCGGGAATAGGCGCCTCTCTCCTGCCTCGGGGAGACGGTTTGGAAGAAGGGCAGGACCTGAGGTGTCTAGAGGGTCAGAGCCCCGGGACCGTGGGGAGAAGGCGACTGAGAGCCCGAGGGGCGGGGGGTGAGGCGTCGCCCGAGGCGGGGGGTTGCCCCCCTCCGCTCCCCACGGGGGAACCGGGGGAACCTCTCCAGGTCGGGAAAGGCCAGCGGGAGGCCCCTGTCTGTTTGGGTTCTGTCCTGGCTTCGGTTGCGCTGGTTTGGGGGCAGCCTCACTCCGCGGCCTCTAGGTTGCAATTCTTTTGCTGGTTAATCAGCAGCATTTCTTTCTTTCTGGAGTAGAGGCGGCCAGCGTGTCCTCTCGCAGCAGCAGGACAGGGAAGCCCGCGAAGAGAGGACATGGACTTTGACCCCATCAATAAACTCGTATAATAAAAAAGTGCGGGAACTGGAGTTACTGGTCTCTAACCTTTAAAATGCGATATGTGACCATGCCCTATGCGCTGCCAAGGATGGTTCCTAGGTGCCCTGTATAATAAAAGCCTAATATGCAAATTGTTCCCTGGGTTAGTTGTTAGACCAGGAGTTTGACCGCTCGCTATGACGTGTGCTGACCACCAGGGGGAGGCCCGGGACATGGCGCTGGGAGCCCCATGGGCCCCGAGGACAGTGGGGCAGCCAGAGGGATGGTGGAGCAGGGGAGCGGGTGGCGCCAGGCTAAGGTGGGGGTGCCAGGCAGGGCTGCAGGGCTGCGAGGCTGGGGGCGCGAGCTGGGGCCTGATGTCCGCAGGCCGCCCCAAGGGCCCCGGGACCCCGTGCCTGAGGTGCATGAATCCGCGCATGGGGCCTCCAGGTGGTAATAGAGCAGGTGCGACAATTGCTGAAATGCATGCTGCTGTGTTTGTGTCCCGTCAGTGACCCAGAATGAGACTCCGAATGAGCCTTCGGTTCTAGACCAGAGTCCGATCTCCCTGAGTTGTCTGCCTCTGGCAGCCGGGTCAGCATCATGGGCCTTAAAGCCGAGAGAGCTTGTGGCAGTTGCAAAACAGTCAAGAGTGCACACGGGAGTTTCTGTTCCCGGGAGACTCGAGTGACACTGGACAAGGGCTGCAGCGACTTGGCCCTCGGTTCCCCTCACCCGAGGCTCCGCTATAGGCCCCTCTCACCGACACCAGAGAGGGGTTCCCAGACAGCACAGCCCCGGACAGCGGGAGAGGCTGTCCCCAACCTCCATCCCTGTCTTCTCATGTGAGTGAATTTATACGAGAGACCTTGGCTGCGGTGTGAAAGCCAATCATCAGAGCAATTAGAGCTGCACCTTTATTGAGAAAAGGCAAAAGTGAAGCCAGCAGACCTTCGCATCTGGCTCCCATGCTCACAGCACAGAAAGCCCTTCCATCTCAGCGTGGGTCTGGTCGAGGCAAGATCACGGAGCATTTGCAGTCTCTCCCCCTCCGCAGTCTCTCCTCGGGCGGTTTTTAACCATTTGCTCTCCCTGCCTTGGCTGGGAAGATAGTGGCTCCTGAGTTACAAGCTGGCTGCAACTTGCCTTTTTTTTTTCCACTTTCCTGCCTCAGTTTCCCTATTCCTCCTGCCCTGGAATCCTCTAACACAGCGGTTCTCAACCTGTGCGTTGCCAACCTGAGGGTGGCGACCCTTTCACAGGTGTCGCCTAACACCATCAGAAAACACATCTATAATCACATATTGTTTTTGTGATCAATCACTACGCTTTAATTATGTTCAATTTGTAACAATGAAAATACATCCTGCATCTCAGATGGGTTGCGATCCCATAGGGGGTCGAACGACCCTTTCACAGGGGTCGCGAAAATACATCCTGCATCTCAGATATTTACATGACGATTCATAACAGTAGCAAAATTACAGTGATGAAGTAGCAACGAAAATAATTGTGTGGTTGGGGGTCACCACCACATGAGGAGCTGTATGAAAGGGTCGCGGCATTAGGAAGGTTGAGAACCACTGCTCTAACAGATGTATTTTATTCATTTTAGAGAGAGAAAAAGAGAGAGAAACATCCACTGGGGCTACCTCCCACATGGGCGCCCCCCCTGCCCCTCCTCCCCCCCCGGGGACCGAGGATCGAGCCCACGGCCCAGGTGTGTGGCCTGACAGGAAGCCGGAGGGCAGGGTGATGCTCCAACCAGCCGAGCCACACGGCCGGGGCCTTGTTTCCCCTTTAAAAACCGAGGCCCAGACATTTGCGGCCTTGGCTTCCCCAACTTCCTGAAACGTGACCGAAGGCCCGGAAACGTCCAACAGCTTGGAAGAGCCAGAGAGAGAGAACTGTGCCCAATTCTTTCTGGCAACTTCCCTTTGCTGAGTTTTCCGAAGATACTCGGGAGATATTCTTAAAAGACGTGATTTCTAAACCTCTAATATCGAAATCAGGCAAAGTCATTTGTAACCTGTGCTTTATTTTATTACTGTTTCATTTTGTGTGAAACCACTAAAAGTACGGTGGCCCGGCCGGCGGGGCTCAGTGCTTGAGCATCGACCCAGGAACCAAGAGGTTGCCAGTTCAATTCCCGGTCAGGGCACACGCCCGGGTTGTGGCTCCATCCCCCGTGGGGGCCGTGCAGGAGGCAGCCGATCCATGATTCTCTCTCATCATTGATGTTTCTTTCTCTCCCCCTCTGCCTTCCTCTCTCTAAAAATCAATAAAAATATATTTAAACAAATTTTAAAAAATTTAAAAATAAGATTATTTTGCAGTTTACTGCAGATTTTTACTTGCTTTATTCAAGGTCAACGTTTAAACATCTAGAGTGATGGCAGCACCTGTAGGAGAACGTGAGCAGCAGCCGTAGACAACGTGAATGCTGGCTGGTCGGACTTGGTTAGCAGGGAAGTCACCGGCCGGGGCAGCCTTCCAGATCCGTGCTACTCTCCCAGATCTGCTGAGGCCAGCAGACTGCGGACACCATTCTGAAGCCCTATTTGCAAGTTTCCTTTTTAAAAAAGGAACAAAACAAAACAACAACCCCCTCCGCCCCCCCGCCATGTGGTTGTGTCATTTGACAAACCCATCCTCTGACCCTGAAGCGGCAAAAACTTTTGCACTCAGAGCTGCTCATGGGCGACCAGCGTCTTAATCAGAGAGCGCATGGCCAGTCCTCTCCTGAGACTTTCATCAAGGCTCTGGGTGCTTTTAAAGTCAGTTGCCTTCCTGTGAGACAGCCAGAAGCTGTGAGGGTTGCTGGGAGTACGCGAAATTAGCTGCATGCTTTCTCGGCAGTTTACGCATTCCTGGGCTGCCAATTCAGGAGCCCTTCAGAGAAATGCACCCCAAAAGTTGGGCGAGATAGTTAACAAAGCGAAACAGAAGGAAACACCAGGCATGTAGGTTGTCGATACAAAAAAAAGCGGGATTAACTGTTTGGATGATCACTGATGAATCATTTAATTTGAAATTAACAAAATGCCCACCTGCTGCATCACACCCACCACCTATGGGGCTTTTAGGAATTCAGGCTCCCAGGGTGTGGCCTGCGGGGTCCCACAGGGCCCCGTGCGTGGCTCTGCTGCTGCTGTCTTGAAATTCTGAATGATTTTTGGACAAGAGACCCCACAAATCATGTAGCTGGTCCTGTTTTTGTTTTTCTTTTTAATATATTTGTATTGATTTCAGAGCGGAAGGGAGAGGGAGAGAGAGATAGAAACATCAGTGATGAGAGAGAATCATGGATCGGCTTCCTGCACGCCCCCCACTGGGGGTTGAACCTGCAACCCCGGCCTGTGCCCTGACCAGGAATCAAACCGTAACCTCCCGGTTCAGAGGTCAAGGCTCAACCCCTGAGCCCTGCCAGCCGCCGCCCCGTTTTTAAAGCGTTGCTTTCTCTTGGTTTCTCTGCTCCTGTCCTGGGCATTGTTTCCGCATCTCCTCCGTGGCCCCCCTTTTCCAGCTGAACCCTGGAATCCCCATGTTTGCTCCTGTGGCCTTCCTTTCACACTCTGCCTTGGGCGTCTCTACTACAGTATCGTGTCACTGCCTCTCTGCCTCCCACCAGACACGGATGGGAGGCGTGCCTCCGTCTCCTACGTGGCTCTCCCCTTCCCTTTATTTCTCATGTTTCTCACACTAATTAAGCCTGGTCATTACCTCCATCTAGAGACGATCACAGTGTTTTCCTAATTCCCTTCTTTTCTTCTAATCCAGTGGTTCTCAACCTTCCGGCCCTTTAAATACAGCTCCTCCTGTTGTGACCCAACCATAACATTATTTTCATTGCTACTTCATCACTGTCATGTTGCTACTGTTGTGAATCGTCATGTAAACATCTGATATGCAGGATGGTCTTAGGCGACCCCTGTGAAAGGGTCATTCGACCGCCAAAGGGGTCGCGACCCACAGGTTGAGAACCGCTGGCCTAATCCGTCCACCACCGCGATCTCTCCCAATACAAACCTTGTCCCACAATCCAACCTTCCGGCCACAACAATGCTCTTTCTAAAATAGTTCCCTGGTTTTATTGCCATCGTTGGGGTTTGGCGGGTGATGCGGGCTGTGAATGAAGCCACAACTGAAGGAAGGGATGCAGCGAGGAAGTTTATTTACTTTCCAGGAGAGGAAAGGGCCGGTGCATGGCCAGTCGGTACAGGGCCGGCAGGAAAGAGACACCTGCTCTTTGAAGGCGAGGCTGTTGCTAAGCAACAAGGAAGGGAAGGGAATTCCGTTGCGGTGGAACAGATATCTGGGGCTGCCTTGAAAAGTTATGGTTTGTGTGCTTTCCAGAGGACAGTCTGGCAGATGTCCTAAGGACGTGTCTTATCAGTATTTTTCCCAAGCCTGAAAATCACGCTTGAATTTTACAAAGAGCAGAAGTTACTAAGCGTTTGAGGAGGGGCAAGGGGTGGGAGGGCTTTGGTTTGAAAGGGAGGGGGAAGGGCACTTAATATGATGAGAAAATTCTATGGAGAAAGTGGAATGGAAATAGAGGTTTAAGAAGTTTGCTAACGAGAGACCCCTTGGTGTGCCTTAGCCCTGAGTTGTGAAAACAGCAGGGAGGAGGGGGGTGCCAAAATGCAGCCTCGAGAGCAGCTTACCTGCAGTTCAAGCAGAGGGGCTATTTGAATCAAAGGAGCCAGCAATCTCGGGGTTTAATCACCAGAAGCTTCTCACAAATTGTGGAAGGCCACAGCCAGGAAAAAGAAAGGCCCGTTTCCTGTCCTTACCACCATATTCCTCAATGCGTTCTATTCCCCGTGTTATCAAGATAAAAGCCCCAATCCTAAATCCTTCGAGTAAAACGCAAAGCTCTGATATTCTGAGCTCACGCCCATTTTCCAGCTGATTTCTAGCTGTGTCTCCGTCACTGGGGTTGCCTCAGACGTATTGCTTTCATGGTCAGTCTGAATCTGTGTAGCATTTGGCACAAAATAATTGCTCTCAACAGGAATGAATAACATCAGTTTGTTTCAGCAATTTA